TTTTTTGACACTGTAATATTTTACACGCCGTTACTAACTTCGGTTAGATGTTGTCAAGTAGTCAAAAATTAAACTAATAAATAAAACTCTATATTTTGTTTTCCTTAAAACACTTATTTTTATACTTTGAAGTGCAATTCGTGTTTATATGAAGCTTTCTTTGTTGAAAATTTAAATATTATTATGTAACTATTTTCTTTGAATTTGTTCTGATTTGAATGAAAGTTTATATTTGGTTTTTCTGGTTTATCTAGGTACGTCCTATCCCTAAGAATTCTTCCAGGTGTTACCACTTATACATATATATATATATATATATATATATATATATATATATATATATATATATATATATATCAAAATGTTATCCAAACTAAATGCTACTCTTTGTCAACATTTCAAGGTGGTCAATTCAACAAAACAGCAACTGTATAGGTATAATGCAAAGATATTTTACATTATATACACAGATAGAACAATATTTCGTAAAATTTTCAGGGTCTTCTAGGTATATACTTCCTGTTAAACGACCAGAAAAGCCCAGTCGTATCCAGCATCGGTTTCCTGCCGATTTTGTCACTGGTACTGTTCATAATAACCTACTGCTGGGGGCTTGGGCCCCTTCCTTATGCAGTGATGGGCGAGCTGTTTTCCATCGAGATCAAAACCGTTGCAACGCCAATAGCTACAGCGTTCTCCTGGGCTCTATCGTTCTTGGTGACTCGGTTAGTTGTTTTATTTTTCTTTGATATATAATAAATATATGATGTGTGTAATCTAGTAGTATGTATACAAGTAATGTAAGGTTTTGCTTTATACGAGTCTTAAATTTACACGGTAATTTCATTCAGATTACCTACAAAAATTAATCAAAAAGGAACAAAATTTATGAGCAGGGTTTATTGTATAGCAATCTCTACTAATCTACCTCTATCTCTACTACCTACGCTACCTCCTAAATAGAAATGGGAGGTTTTAGTAAGGGCTTTGAAGATGATTCATTTAATATAATTTTTTTGTATATAAAATACGTATCTTACTATAAAGATAATATGTAATATCTGATATGATCATAATTTATATCTAATATGATCTTAAAAGGATAGGGAGATTTAATATTTCGCACTAATTAATTGACAAAGATAATAATGTTCCAAAGCTTTGACTGCTTTTAATTTTTGTAATGTACTTAAACAAACCAGTGTTTTTGTACTAAGCCAAGCTTTGATTGATGCCGGTGTTGAGCTAATCAATCATATTTTCTGTGCATGGGAGAATTTGTACAAATGCTTTGTGTATATTTTGTGATCTTTTCAAGGCTTTCAACCGTGTTCAGAATAACACATTTATCATGAAGCTACATCAGTATGGTGTAAAAAACCTAGCGCTTAAACTTATTAAGTCATATCTTAATAATAGAACGCAAACAGTTTTAATTAATGGGATAATTATTATCTATGGTTTTTTCTCAAGGCTCAATTCTTGGCCCCTTTCTGTTCTTAGTTTAGGAAGAAGAAGAAGAATATTTTTTATTCAATATAGATTACAAGTAATTCTTATTGAAAGTCAATTTTTTACTTTACCACTGGTTCGGAAAAAAACCTCTGTCCTGGGAAGAACCAGCAAGAAACCCAGCGGGAATTTTTTTTTAATAAATTTTACAATGTTAGTGGTCACAAAATATTTACAAAATTAATTTTAGAAACAGCTTGGAAGCAACCATCTCATTTCCAGGAGTTATTATCAACCATGTATTAGTTTATATCATAATAACACTTTTTATATACAGTTTTTGTTTAATTAAATATTTAAACTTGGTAATAGAATGAATTACTGACTCTGTGGGGTCGAGAAACTGGTATTACTTACTTGTGTTTGTTCCTAGTATTTACAGAGTGTATATCACTTTTTTTACTAAAACTATCTTTGTTTTTGTGAACATACATCAAATTTTCATAGATATACTAAGAGGCAAAAGTTAATTTTTTTATAATTTTTCTTTAAGAGACCCTCCCGGTTTAAGGTTGTACATAGCTCTTATAGCCCTCTTCTGAAAACAAAACTGGTTTCTAAATCAGCCGCATTCTCGCATAGCGAAATCCCACATGAAATTGTGCTATGGAAATAACTGAAATAAACTTATGTAGCTGTCTCGACACTAGTGAGATCTCTAATCTTTTTTAGAGAATAAGCTGCAGAGCTTAGTCTACTTGCTAGTTTATTAGATATATGGATGCTCCACTGAAGCTTAGCGTCGACAACAATGCCAAGAAAAACAGAGGATTCAACAGGACTCAGTTCTTACCCATTTAAAACACACCAATGTGTTCGGATTAGTAAGCCACCACACACAACATACCAACACAACACACTAACGCATTAGTAAGCTGAAGTGGCAATGGGCCGGCCATATAACTCGAGGAACCGACAACCGTTGGGGGAAAAAGGTTCTCGAGTGGCAGCCTCGTACCGGTAGGCGAAGTGTAGTGCGACCCCCCCCCCTAGATGGAGTGACGACCTGGTAAGACATACAGGAAGTCGATGAATGCAGGTGGCTCAGGACCGTGCTTTGTGGCATACCTTGGGGGAGGCCTATGTTCAGCAGAGGACTTGTGAAGGGCTGTAATGATGATGATGATGATGAATGTGTTCGGATTGTGACTCGGATTATTAACATTTGTTGTTGTAAATTTAATACATTTAGTTTTATTGCCGTTTAAATGTAGATTATTAACGTTAAACCAATGCATTAATTTCGACGTAGCATTATTCCCTTCGTCACATTTAAGTAATTGACGTTTAAGTTTAAAAATCAAGGAAGTATCTTTAGTAGATAATACTATATTATGATTAACCCCTACAAGGGAAGGAAAGCCTTGAGGGACACCCATCTGTAGGGGCCATCCGGAAGAACTTTTACAATTAATAACACCTTTCTGCACTCTATTAATTAAGTATGAAATAACTAGTTTCAACACTGTACTTGACACCATAGTACTGTAGCTTCCTGATTAATGTCTCATGGTGAACATAGTCGAATGCCTTGAAAAGGTCACAAAATATACCCAAAGCATCCTCTGAATTCTTCCATGTACTAAAAATATGTTTCACGAGCTCAACTCCCGCACTGGTTTTCTAGCGACTCCTTGTAAATCCAAATTGACTTGTATGGAGCAATTTATTTTTATTAAAAAAACTTATCATCTGATAATTTTTTCAAAATTTTTCTTAAAGTTGGTAGTACAGAAATTGGTCTAAAATTGGCGGGGTCTGATACACTATCAGATTTAAATAACTTTATTATGTTTTATTAAATCAGGAAGCACACCAGAATTGACGCTTGTATTAAAAATAGTGGCTAGATAATGTGCTATTGTATCTATTACGCATGCAATAACTTTAATGGAAATCCCCCATAAGTCTGCAGTTTTCTTCACATCAATAGTTTTAAAATATTTAATGATTACTTTTGGCAATACTCTATGGAATTTAAAAATATTTGAACAAGCCTTTACATTGTCTTTAAGCAATGATTCGGCGATAGTAGGAGAAGAATTTAATGATTTTGTTTTTCTCATAAAAGGAACACACGTAAAATGTTTCTCAAATGCCGTAGCAACTTTTTCGTCAGATTGAGTCAAATTGTTGTTAATATTCGGTTGAAGATCAGAGTTGCGTGGTTTAACCTTACCCGTTTGACTGTTAATTATGCTCCACGTCATTTTAATTTCGTTGGATGCAGTTTTAAATTTGTTGCTTAAATGTAAAACCTTAGCTGTGGAGTATACTTTTTTAAATATTTTAGAATACGTTTTAACATACTCTCCAAATATAACACTATAATTATATGATCTTTTATTATAAAGCTCGTATTACTTTTGCTTACATTTAGAAATGCCTACTGTCACCCATTCATTTAACGATTTGTTAAAAGAGAAATTTATAGAATTAAATATTCTATTCATTTCACAAATTATAATTTTAAATAATGTACCATACAAATAATCAGCACTATTTTTAAAAGAAAGCGATGGAAGTTCTTTTACTATATTACTTCTAAATGCTTCTAAACGATGTTCATTTATTGGAATACACACAACTTTCTCATTTTTCTGGTTTTTTTTTTGTATATATAATACAATGAGACCCACTGTCCACATTGATACGAACATAAATTTTGAATGATGGATTTATGCAAGGGCTTAACATCTGCAAAAATGTTATCTGTACACTTCACACTTAACCCAACAGTACGAGTCGGTTCGAAGAATAAACTAACAAGATTATACGATTTAAACAATGAGGTAAACTTAATACTAATGGAAGAAGTTTCAAGGAGATTAATGTTAAAGTCTCCACATATAACAACAGTCTTATTCTGTTTACTATATTTGAGCAAAACTTCTTCCACAATCAAGTATTCGTAAGTAGCACATGGGGGTCTGTAAACACACACAACAATGAGGTGCTCAAGCTCGATACAAGCCACTTCTACAGTTCGCTCAACAGAGAGGCTCACAATATCCTTACGTTCTTTATATAGCAAAGATTTCGTAAACTTTTTTCTCTAATGAAGGAACTGACCACCTGGTGATTTCCGAAATTAAATATTAAATTATAATCTTTTAGCCGATTTTTAGTAATAGAAAGGATATGTATGATATTTCTATTTAAAAATAATTCAACTTATAATTCTTTACCCATTATTTTGATACACCAGGTGTAAACAATTTTTATAACTTATTTATGGGCTGCTTTCTAAGTTAATGAAACTCTTATTATTATAATTGCCAGAGATTTCCTCTATTATCGCATTCGCTAATTTAAATTGATTGGAACTTATTCCAAGTGAAGTGTCAAATCATTATGCTGCTCAATATTAGCAGTCTTGGTAGCTAAAAACTTGGCTGAGTTAAAAAGTAAATAATAAGATGGCACATTTGCTATCAGTCTTAAATTATATTTGGATAGGTAATACCTATCTTCTTTCCAAAACTTCTTAATTACATTATTTATGTCAATTAAATGAAATTTGTCATTATTATCATTACATGTCAAATTTAAATTATTATTATAAATCAAATTGTGGCAATCCCTGTATATAAAGCAGTGTGATCAAGACAATTTTATTTAGATTTAAGTTATTAAGTTATTCAGTATATCTTAATAACTGTTTTTGTTCACACTGCCTCTTCTACTAACCAACACTATTATTTTACTATTTGGACAAAATTTAGTAACTATAATTTTATTTAGAATGTCACTAAGAGAATTTGTAATTTTTTTCCCTTAAGTGTTATTTAAAATTATGCCTAAATTTTTCCCATTTCATCGCTATACGAGTACAGTTATTTTTGATAATATATGAATAATATTTTATTTTAATCTTCTCTGTTATGGTACTGTCATAGAGTTTCGGTGGTTATATAATATTATCAGCACACCGACTCTAAAGAAACCGGTATTGACCGCTGACACTCACACTGATATTTTACTAAGGAGTCAAAACGCTGCTCATTATATTTACATGTCTTTACCAGGTTATCCATAGCCAGTATGTGTTCTTTAATTTTAATTAGGCCTGATTTATGTTTGTTGACCAAAGTTTGAAGAGAGTCAGAAATTATTAAAATTTCTGATTTAAGGCACTCTACGTCAGTCTTATAACATTTTTTGATATTATGAGACTGTTTATAGTAATTACTTACCTTACTTGGAAGGGAATAACCATGATATAGTTTTATTTGCTGATGATATTTAATTGATTTTCCGACTTGAAAGACAATTATTGAAATATGAATAAGTGAATAATGCTACATCACAGGTAGTTGTTTTAAGGTCAGTTATTTGCTTTTGAACTGTAACAAAACGAAATGTATGAAATTCATCACACCTAATGTTCAACAGTGGAAAAACAGTATGCTTTTAAATGGGGAAGAGCTTGATTTTGACTACCTTGTTGGTGTATTCGTTGCAGTAGTGTGACATCTGACGTGAGGTCTTGGGTTCGAATCCCGGATTGGAACAAAAATACAATTTATTGAGTTTTTCCGTCAATAAATTCTCAGTAGTTGCCCGGAGTCAGGAAGTTGGTGGTTCTTTCACGTATAATGTCGATAACCATAAAAAATTCAGTGTAAGTAGACCTCCCAGTACTAGTTACTGCCTAGTAATGCAAGATCAGCATATACTGGTTTTAATAAAATACTTGGTCGATAAAAGAAAAAGATTTAAAATGAGGAGCACTTTTCATTACCACCCTTTCATTAATAATGACGTCATTTGTCGCATGTTTGTAAATAGCAAACAAATGTAGAACAGAAAATAGTAAGTAGGTAAGTTACGTTTCGTTTCATATTATTATTTTCCTAATTTCGATCTTTCCTTCATACTTTTACCAGATTAGGACGATCTAATATGCTGTAGTTGAGTAGAATTACACGTTAATTTTATCTTGCATTATAATGAATAGATAAACAGTTTCTAATTATAATTTTTATGCCTACCTTATACTGCAACATCGTGGCATATTTAAAAGATTGTAATCAACTTTTTTACAAACTACAACAAACTACACTGATTGATATTTACAAAATTATACCAATTTATTGTTACTTACATATAAAAATTACCTTTTTTCGATATCGTAGTAAATGTTAAAAATTGATAGAATTAGGCGTTACTTTGCGGAAATCCATTATAATAAATGGTATTAATAGTTATTTTGCAACCATCCGCTCAATTAAATAAAATGATGTGTCTTACCTAGTTTGAAGAGCACCTCCCGCCCTCCCTCAATTGCGTGCACTATTCCCGTCACCACCAATCCCATCACCACTACTCCCAACACCAATACTCCTAACACCACCACTCTCAACACCACTACTCCCAACACCACTATTCTAGGAAAGTAAATAATTAAATATTTAAAACTAAATAATTAAATATTTAATTAAACACGTGTCATCTTATCGTCGATGGTGTGTCTTTCCTAGAATAGTGGTAACTCGTATAGTACTAAAGAGTACATGATTGATGAAGTTGTCGCTACCACGCTGTTTTTAAATGTTTTTATAACAATAGTATGAAATTATTATATTATTGTAAATTGTGTTTTTTTTAAAGTCCCGCTATATAATAACTATTACATATAATCTATATTAAATGAAAAATGATTCTATTCTATTGTATGGGCTGATCTGTACATTATTTTTACGGAGCAGGTATTTCGAGCCAGTCGCAAACGCGGTGGGGATGTATGTGGTGTTCTGGTTATTTGGTGTATGCTGTGTCTCCGGGTTCATCTTTACACTGTTCCTCGTGCCCGAGACCAAGGGCAAGAGTCTGCAGGAGATACAGTACATGCTGGCTGGCAGGTGGGTTGTTATCCACATTTTAAGTCCAAAACGATTTTTAATACATTTGAGAGTAATATAAATTGTACAATTTTTCTTATTTAGTTGTACGCTATCATGGGGTAAATATTAATTTTACATTAACTATATAAGTTATGAAGTATATTATAACTCAAACAGTAAATATAATTACGTTATTCTTTTCAAAACTATACTATGATAAGTGTTTGAAGGTAGTGTTCAACGCAACGAGTAAGCGCCACGAACTTCACGGCGCTTAAGACTTTCTTCTCGCAGATTTTTGTAGTCAACACATTGTGCACTGTTAACGGACTGGTCACTAACCAGGTCGAATTTGTTTATTTACCCGTCCGTGTTTGATAACAAAATTAATAAAGTTGACCGACGACATCCAGCGCATTTCTTTTTAAAAAGAAATGCGCTAGATGTTGTCTCCCTTTGGAGAAAAATTTTGCGTCCATGCAATACGGTCAGTACAAGAATAAGTATCACATTGTGTGTATGAATATAAAGTAAAAGTTCAGTAAAGGTACAGCCTATATACGTCCCACTGCTGGGCACAGACCTCCCCTCCTTTCTTAGAGAGTTTTAGGGGAAGGAAGTGTCCGCCGCGCAGCCCCAACGCGTGTTGGCGAACTTCATATGTCTTCGAAATATTTTTTCCTTGTTTCTCAGACATGCAGGTTTCCTCGCGATATTTTTCTTCACCGCCGATCACGTGGTAAATCAGCCGGCGGGGATCAAACCCGGGTTACTACCGTTCTGTTATATTTACTGCGAGCATTAACCATCTGAGCTACCACGGCTTGGTGTGTGAATATAGATGATGAAAAATTCAGCATGCTCACAAAGGAAACAAAATCTGGGAATAACACCAATACACCTGCGCTGAGCCGCGAGTCAGGCGGAAGCACTACTAGCGGGCCGTGATCATCCCGGTCATGTACATAACTGGGGAGCCCGCGGGGTTGCCTGCATCACACGAAAATATAACACGTTGCACGAAGGTACTTACCACTAAATCTAACCACTCGCGGTCGCTATAGATGTGCCATGAAATTACATTGGAAGATAAAGCGATAGGCGGATCTACGGCCAATGTCACTGAAAATCGTTACCGTGAAATTCTGGAGCAAAAGATCTCCTATGTGCTTAACACAACGATAAAAGACTTGGTTTTAGACGAGTTCTCAAGTATTTAAGAAAATATCTTTAATTTTAATGACTCGCTGAACTTTTTATGATTGTTTTGAAATCTTAAAGAGAGAAATGAAGGAAAACACGGCAAGCATTAAGAGTCTCTTAATAGAAAATGCAAGCCCGCAGGTTACAGTAAGCGATCTTTCAAACAGGATGGGAACTCTTTATCAAGTCCTATGCGAGAGTAATATGAAAATACTTGGAATTCCGGAAATAAAATCTGAAAATTTGGTTAATATTATAACACTAGTAGCTAAGTCTGCTGACCATGAACTGTTGGTAGAAGACATATTGCATGTGACAAGGATCGAAAAGCTCAACACAGAGACTGATTGAGCCCGCACATTGGTATTGCACAGCGTGCTGCAGAGTGACGCGCTATTAGTCGTTGTCGCTATTTACAACAAAAGGAACCCAACCAACAAGGTTAGCACAATTAAGCTTTTTAGGATCAAGCACTCCCGTTTTTGTTCCACAACATCTTTCACCCAGCAATAAATCTCTGCATGCCGCGGCACGTAAGAGAGATTTGGGATACAAGTATGTTTGGGTATGCAACGGGCGCATATACATGCGAAAGGATGACTTAGCCAGGCTTTACTTATTCGAAATATGAACGTGAAGTAGGTTTTTTTATTTTTAATATTTTTTTGTATTTTCTTTCTTCTTTTTTTCAATGTATAAGTGACCTCGAGAAATATTTTATGGACATATATTATCAAAACTTAAGAGGTTTTAGAGCCAAAACTAACTACACCATTTATAAAATTACTTTGGATGCTGTCTGCCTTACTCCTCCAGTCAATTTAGATTTACTTTTAAAAATTTAACATTAATAATAATATTTTTAATTATGTAGATGATATCATGATTTTAGGTAATTTCAACCTAGGTCTAATTCCCTGATCCAGTCACCAGTCTAACAATTATATAAACAATAGCTTGTGATGCGATTTAATAGATTTCATTTGGACAACTATGATAATAGAATACTGTATTTGGTGTTAAAACGGTTAAGAATGCTCGCGTTATGAAATCCCTGGATCTCATTATCAAATTAGACCCGAAACACTCTAATTTATTGTTCAGTTTAAAGTTAAAGTCTACGTACATCCCACTCCTGGGCACCGGCCTCTGCTCATTTATGAGAGGGTTTGTTCAGTTTACTACATGGTAACTTAAATTATTTACAAACCAAAAACCGAACTTATTTCCTCCTTCTGTATTGAAATTAGGATGTTTTTAATTTCAATAGCCTCACGTATCATCCTTCGTAGGAATCGGTGTTCTTTCGCGTGGATTTGTGTTCTATCATCTTCTTCTTCTTCTTACATCAGATTTGATAGACCACAAATCCTCGCGAAAGAACACTGATTCCTACCAAGGATGATACGTGAGGCTATTAAATTAAAAAACATCCTAATTTCAATAGAGAAGAAGGCTGGGTACTACCACCTACTTGGGACCCTATAATCAATAAAATTAAAACTAAACTCAAGCATACCACTGCAAGACCTTAGGACATAGTCAGTTAATTTTGCATAGATCGGAACATACGAGTAAACAATAATTAAAAAAGCTGAAGGCACTTGGGGTTTAACAATGACATTGAGACATCAGTCACCTCAGTCCCCCGTGACCATGGGTGCTGGAAAGCACCCGAAACGTTGGGAATTAAAAATAAAAATAATTAAAAGTAAAATTAAATGCAGTAAAATCCGTAGAAGTAGTTTTATTCACTTTAGATTACTTTATCTAACTCCGAAAGCTTTGCTCGTATCGCTAATTCATTACTGCCCCGATCGCGGCATTCAACGGCTTTAAATAGACCTTTTTCACCGAAACATCTAGAATACTCCAGCAAATACCGGTCCCGACCGACTAGGTGGAGAAAGTTCGAGTATGGAGTTTTCCAGAAAGCTTAGCTCTTCTTTTCGATACTAGATGGCGCTGTAGGTAGAAAGTTCCAGCATGGCATTTTCTAGTAAGCTCCCCTCACTTTGTTCCCCGACACAAGATGGCACTAGTGCCGGGTACCAGACATCAACTTAGGCGCGCAACACTGCCCCCTCTTAAGACATGCTCGTTCCGAGCATTACGGCCCCATAATAACGCGCCATTCGATCGACATGGACGATCTCAGGAGTACCTCTTGCACCTTATGAAACGGCTCTGTAACGTTAAGGATTGTCCTCTCTCATGGTGCACCAACATTGTACAATTTCATTGCACCTCTACTACGAGTCTGAGGTCCCTGCACGGCCGCACAACTCGTACATTTGCAACACCAATCCTCGACATCGTCACGATAATGGACCTAGTAAAACCGTTCTCGGATCTTCAGTAGAGTTCGTTTAACTCCCAGATGGACTCTTGAACAACCATTATGGTGCAGCTGTAGAACATTCGGCACTTTAGGTTTAGGGACAACCATTTGCAAACGACAGCTGTCTCCTCGACCATTGTTCCATTTACGGCACAGGGCTCCATCCTGAATCAGCAAGCTGTCCCATTGGGCCCAATAGTGTTTCGTGGTCGAAATCATCGCTGAGACGTCGCTCCACTTAGGCTTGAGAGTACTGGCCTTCATCCAATCCAGATTCGGCTTGATGGCTGTCCATGTCGTAGGCTGTCCCTCCATTTATTGCTGAGGTGGTCTGTCCTGAGAATACTCACAGATACCACTTCCTTACCCTCTTTCCTAGTACTATTCTTGCAATCGTCAGCATCTATGTTGCCATGCCATTTCCCGCTGCAGTGTTCGATAGTAAAGTCGTATTTCTGCTGCTGCTGGGGGGGTGCTGTTAGCCGCACTACCCTTTCGAGATCGATCACCTTCCCTTTTAACAGATCGCTTAGGGCAGCTGGGTTAAAGATGGCCTCTTTCCCCACAGCCGTAGCACCTCGGGCTGTAACTTTTATTGTGGTCGCGAACTGTAGATGCTGCAACCTCCCTAACGTGAGGAGAACGATGATCCTGCCGCTGCTGGGCGGTGCCGTTAGCCGCACTACCCCCTCGAGATCGATTAGCTTCCCTTTCTACAGTTCACTTAGAGCAGCTGGATCGAAAATGGCCCCATTCTCCACAGCCACACACCTAGGGCTATATCCATTATTGCGGTCGCAAACTGTTGCTGCTGTAACCTCCCTGATGTGATGGGAACGACGATCCTGCCGCACGGCTTCAACCTCATGTGCATGAGCCAAGGATGCCTTAAGCGTCACGAGGTGCCCGAGCCTCACAGCGGCTCTGACTTCAAAGTCGCGTGCCGTCGATGAATGTCTGCACCAGGTTCCCTTCAATGAGCGCAGGTACAGACCGGTATGCTTTTCGCACCAGCTTCTCTACCTCACGAGCCCACTGCTGCAGGTTTTCTTTAATGCGTTGCACGCGATTTTTAAGCTGCGCACGAAAGACGTGTTCCAGGTGGGCGTCACCGTATCTCGCCTCCAATGCCTCAAGGAGCTGCTCATAAGTCACTATCTTACCGAGAGCTTCTAGAACAGTTAAGGCCTGGTCGCGCAGGCCTAATGTAAGAGTAGTCATGGCGCAGCGAAAGTGTAATAGCTACTACGGGAGCTGTAGTTTCATCCCCAAGTTTGAGTTCGTCCAGTAATTTTTCATGTCAGCCACTACGTTGTCAACCCGATTGTTCACTTGATCGATTTAGGTTTTAGCCTCCTCGATTCGGGTTTCAGCATCTGACAGGCGGTTATCATGTTGAGCAACCCTATCCTTCACCTCCCTTATCTCTTTCCCGAAGTTAGCGTGAATGTCCTTCACGAGGAGCATCTGCTCTTCCTGTCGGCGGGCCTGTTCCTCCTGCTGCTCTTTCAACCCGCGGGCCTATTCCTCCTGTCGGCGAGCCTGTTCCTCCAGCTGCTCTTCCAATCGACGGGCCTGTTCCTCTTGTAGTCGGACCTGCTCCTGCATAGTTGCATCATCTTCAGAGCACCTAAGTCAGGTGCTGGATATGCAGGAGCTGCTGACGGGCCACGATGCGGCATTGCACCACCAAATCGTCTCTGATCCGTCTCCTGCTGGCGTTGACTTCGGGTACGGACACCCTCTATTTCTTCCTTAGGTAAAATTGACATTATTTTATCCCACTTCTGACACCAATTGTTACGTTTTTAGGGTTCGTGACAATAAAAACTGCCGATTGAATTACCAAAATTGACTTTTTAATTACTGAATACCAATTAAGACTTAAATCACACTAATAATTAATCATACTTAACACTTAAGTTCACTTTATCTCACTCCTAAATCTTCGCTCGTATCACCAAATCAATACTGCCCCGATCGCAACTTTCAACGGCTTTAAATAGGCCTTTACTACCGAAACATCTAGAATATTCTAGCAAATACCGATCCCGACCGACAAGTGGAGAAAGTTCAAGTGTGGAGTTTTCGAGAAAGCTTAGTTCTTCTAGTCGAAACCAGATGGCGCTGGAGGTAGAAAGTTCCAGCATGGCATTTTCTAGAAAGCTCTCCTCGCTCTGTTCCCCGACACAAGATAATGCTAGTGCCAGGTAACAGACATCAACTTAGGCGCGCAACAATACTTTTCGCTAAGTATAGAAAAATATAAAAGATCATTATTATAAATGATTTGTAAATGATTTAATGATAATAAATCTAATATGTATGTACCTTACAGCTGCCGCTTGGTTATTTGCATTATTTTTATTGTCTCAGTTATATATTATCATTAGGTATCATTTTTGTGACACATAAGCTATTGTTACTTTGCTTTCTTAATTTTTATAGTATTTTGTAATGATGTATCACCTATAAGGGTCCATCACATCATCAGTACCTAGATTAAGCCTATTTTCAATAGGAATGTAATAATGAGTGCACTGCTGGTGTACTATAAATATACTACTAAAGAGTATATGATTGATAATAACCCCTGGGAATGAGGAAATCGCTACCCTGCTGTTTCGAAATGTTTTCATATTAATTGTATACTATATTATGTAGTTAAATTATATTTTTACAAAAAGTCCCGCTGGATCTTTTTAAAACAGAGTTTTTTCCCGAACTATTGGTAAAGCTTAAATGACTTTCAATAGTTATTCTTGTAGTTTATCTATACAAATAAATATTTATGTGGCTGTTTGTAACGTCAAAATAACAGCATTTTACTAAATGCTTATGAAAGTTTATTACGCACTTATAACAAAAACATCAAGCCTGTTTGTTCTGACTAATCTCCGAACTGGCTGGACCGATTTTGACGAGAATTTCACTGATAGATAGCTGATGTTATAAAAAGTAACAAAAGTCAATTTTATTTTAGAAAAATAGGTTTCCGCGCAAAAAAATT